AATCTAACTGGAGGAGAGTCTGTGTCGGTGCTCGGAGGGAATTCCTTCACTGAAAACCCCCACCACCAAACCTTTAACGATCACGACTTTCATTTTCTAGCTAGACCATTGTATATCCAACATTTCCACTCTCCTTTAGTCTATTAACGGAAACACCAAAAAAAAAATATATATATATACCAGCGCCTCCAACACTTGATAGAAAAGTAGACCTATAAAATATATATATATAAAATACCTTTGAAGATGGCGCGTGAAATTCTTGCGTGTGTTTTGGGGTGTCTGCTCATGGCGTGCTTTAGCCTGGGTCACCGCATGCCCAATTTCATAGCCCAGGATGACCTCAGCGACGGCCAGCACGAGATCCGAATTCACTTCAACGGGGTCAACGCCAAGCAAACGTCAGTGGGACACGACCAAGGAAGCGAGAGGTAAGTGTGAGGGAGAAAGTGTCACTGTTGGTAGTTTCCCAATTATTTTTTTATTTTTATTTTTTACTATTATTATTATTATTATTATTATAGCGTGTAGGTTGGCTTGTTTGTGTAACAAAGTGGACGTGTTTTGCCCGAAATTTTTTTCTTCTATTTTTGCGATTTATTTCCCGTGTGTTCATTAGGGATGCAGATGTTTTTAAGAAAGTGATTTTGATAAAGCCCAAGTGTAGTCTTTCTCGATTACGGTATATTTTGCCTGGTTAAATCAACGATGTAACGTTGAGAAATAACAGACATAAAATACGTTAAAACGATTATATATATAATCCCATTTAACAAGAACAGGAACCACACAAAACTCCATATTTCATTCGTAATCATTTATTTATCATTTTTAACGAACACCCCTGAATTTATTATAGCTGGAAGGGAAATGTGGAGAGAAAATGGCCATGACCACAAGTTCGAGAGCAGTTAAGTTTATGGAACCAGCGGCATCCAAAGCCTAAATTACCTGAAGAAAATTTTAATGATAGGGTAAATGAGGAGTGTGTGCTTCCTAGGCTTATAGGAACTTTTATATATCTTGTATTTATTTATGTGATTTTTAATTTTGCCGCGTTTCTTGCCCTAGTTTTATGAAAGGTAGTGGTTAGTTAATCCCTAGGCAAACCATGGAAAAGAAAGAAATACTTATAAATGATTTAACATGAGTTGAAATTTTTCTAAACTTATATAAACAGCGATAAAACAGATAGCCTACGTTAAGCCAAGCCACATTTTTATCATTATTCTTTCATAATAATCTCCCTTTTCACTGTCCCTTGACATGATATTATAAACGGATCCACAAAGTTTCTAAAACCTTAGAAAAAAAACCAACCCATTTTCTTCGAGATTAGTAAGATATGCTGTTGGCCTTGTGTTATCCTATAAACGGTATATTCGCGGGGTGACTGGACCGGCCGCTTGACATGTGCAATATATCAGCTGTTTTTTTTGTTTATCTCTGTTATCTCTTGGGTTTTGATACATGTCAGAGTGTCTGTCAAGGCTGAACGGGGAGGTGGGGTGGATAGTGTGTGTCTGATTTTAGAAGTTGAGTGTTTTTGTATTTAGATTTTTTTTCTTTGTCATTGTTGCTGATATTGCGAGTCGTTTGCACGGTTTAACTTTTGCAATATTGCCATTTATTGTTTATTTCCAACTTTAACGCCAAACTATTCGTGTTTCTCTTTCTCTCTCTCTCTCTCAACCAATTTCCCTCGCCCTTTTTCTCACTCCCTTTCCCTTTCCCTCCCTCTTTCTTTCACCCTTTCCCTCACCCTCCCTCTTCTTTCTCCTTCCATCTTTCTTTCTCTCACTCCTATTCCTTCTTTCCCTCTCCCTCCCCTATCCCCTATCCCTCCCCTACCCCCTCTCCCTCCTTCCCCCCATTCTCATCTGTTCTCTCCCTCCTTCCCTCCCGCCATTCTCATCTGTTCCCTCCTTCCTTCCCTCTTTCTCTCCCGCCATTCTCATCTGTTCCCTCCCCCCTTCCCTCCTTCCCTCCCGCCATTCTCATCTGTTCCCTCCTTCCTTCCCTCTTTCTCTCCCGCCATTCTCATCTGTTCTCTCCCTCCCTCCCTCCTTCCCTCCCGCCATTCTCATCTGTTCCCTCCCCCCTTCCGTCCCTCCTTCCCTCTTTCCCTCCCCCCTTCCCTCCCTCCCTCCCTCCCTCCCACCATTCTCATCTCCCTCCCCCCTTCCGTCCCCAGCGGCCTCGTCCTCCGCCAGATAAGTCACCACCGGCACCTGCTTACCCTCATCTACGTGGGCGAAGTGACGGACCGGATCAGCGTGGACGGTCTCTCGCTCAGGGACTGCGAGCTCACGTCGGAGGAGGAGCAGGTCGAGAACTTCATGCATGAGTTCAAGGATGATGCAGAGCTCGCGATGGACACGCCTAAGGGTATGTTTTTTTTATGTTGTTTGTTTGTTCTGTTTTTGTTTTCTCTTCTTTATGTTTCGTCTGTGGTAGCCCTTCTATTCTTTATATGTGTTTTTTTTTTTTCTCTTATATCTTTCTGTCTAATATTTGCAAATGAATTGTGATTGTGTATTTTTTTTTTTTTTTTTTACAACTGGGTCATCGATATATATCAACATACACTGTTTATATCTTCACAATTCGTCCAATTTGTTTGTCAACAGGATCTTGGTCTGGGCCGCTTCATAACATCTCTTTCGTACACCTGTCCGAGGAGGCTGAACTTCCGGAATACCTGAGGCCTGTTGTTCACTTCCGACAGCTGAGAGCCCAGGTCAGTCAGCACAAAAGGTTCCCCAAAGTTTTCCGTATATATAATGATTTCTAATTCATATAATCATTATAATAATAATGAATTTCACCTGCACTTTGCCTCAGTAATATGAGCCGAGACAAAGCTGTGGCATTCCAAAAGATCCTGTCATAAGCCGCCCTGTCCCCTGCCTCCCACAGTGCAAGGACCACCACCGTCGCGTCCGGGCTGGAGTGAAGGCGCAGAGGCGTTCGCACAAGAGCCACGACGAACCCGCCAGCGTAACGCGAGACGAGAACAGCGAACTCGGAGTCTCTCACGCCAGGTAAAGAGAAAAAAAATCATGATCGAAGTGCATTTTTCTGCGGTGTTGCTGTCTGCCACCGCCCCCTCCCTGTGCATTTGTGAGACATCGTGTGTTAAATGGGATTTGTCACTGCATGGAACTTCATTTTCTGTTAAATCAGTTTAAAGATATTTTTTTTTTCCTGTATTATAAATGTGTTTTGTCTTTGTCATTGCGGGTTACATGCCTAACATGTAATCCATTTCAAAAGCTTCTTGTCTATATCGTTAATTGAAAAAAAGTCACACTATATACATAGCTAAATGTTTTGGGTGCTTAAACTGTCTCTCTTTCATATCTATCCTAAGTGCACGTAGTACGTAGACATTTATAAACATATTATTATGACGCCGAGCCTGAACCTGGGTTCTACGTCACTCTAGTTCATGAACCAGGTAGCTAGTTGTCATAGTTCCTGGTGCATGAACTAAAGCAAAAAAAAAAAAAAAGCGTTTCTCATACACCAGGTAACAAGTGCCAAAGTTCCTGGTGAATGAGCAACCTAACAGAAATAATGAGACTGCTTCTTTCACAACATCTGTACTCTCTTATCTTGCCTATAATCTCCATCCCCCCCTTTTATTAGTCACTGGAGATCCCAACCCATATTCCCTGTGGCACTCACTCTCCCCCCCCCCCCCCCTGAGTGCCACGCGGGGGCCATGGCTTGTAGCTCTGGTTGTCTGTTGCTGTAGTGTTGGCAAGGGACGCAGCGTAACCACGCCGGTGTCGATAATGTTCGCGCCGTCGGGGATCGTGTTCATTTTTCGTTTTGGATTGGATTAGTTGAAAATTTTCATAGAAAAAGAACGGAAAGATTTATCAATTTGCTCTTTCCGGTTGCCAAATTTGTTTCTTGTGAGAAAAAAAAAGAAAAATGTTATAATATGTATGCTTTGGTTTGGGCTGCTACATAAGCTGCAATGCTTCATCATTCAGATTTCACTAATAACTCAGAATATGAATTTGTGGTGATTGGTAACTGAAAATATCTCTTCCGACTGAAATATCTAATTATTTTCATGATGGAAAAGGTGTCAGTAATTTTCTTTAAAACTTAATGCTTCCGTTTTATTTTACTTTGCTAAGTCAGATTGCTATTTTTCCTATTTTTTTCCTGTTTCCTTATTTTAATACGTTTCATTGTCGCTGGCGTTTTTATATAACTTTTTCGAATGTGACTGACTGATACCCAATGCTTATTTTAACATTCTTGACTCTTCATTTTCTTTTTTTTTAATAATGGACTTACTTTTTCCACTTGTTATTTTTTATTCTTAATGGGTTTACTTTCCACTTGTTTTCTTTACTTTCTTTCACATAATACTGCATGTCTTAATTGCATGTTACACAAGTTTGAATTGATTGATTTGAACTGAATAAACTGTCTGTTTAACGACGGAATCCATGCCTGTGACATAACTTTGTTTTAAGTAACGTCTCACGATTTGTTATGTATTGTCCCTGATTTTATGTTTTTGTGTGTGCTTTATAACCACCTTAAGTTGTCTGCATTTAACTTGGCAGAGACACCTGTAGTAATAGTAGTAGTAGTAGAGTTTGCTTGCCTCATTTGATTTTATTGCTTGGGAAACAAATTGGTACCTTTTTGACTCTGCGTCGTGGTCCCTGTCCTGCTTGGGAGTTGCTAGTTTTACCTCGGTTTGAGACCACCTGCACTGAGACACTTGCACAACACTAGCACGACACTAGCACCAGTAAGAAATGCCACCTTGAGTATAAACTTATCGTCAGCACACTTAAAACAACTTAGTAATGTGGCCATACAACACGAATATTTAGTGCAGCACATCTGATCAGCACTGGCACTGTATACACTTGATACCAATACCAACACTGTCCACAAAGTCTACACCAGAAGCCGTTGTCAACAGCACCTGCCATCAGCCACCACTCCCCCCCCCCCCCCCCCCCCCCACGAGTTGTAGCACCGTCACTTACCCTAGTAAGCCTTGTTTTAGAAGTTGATGTAGATGAAGTATTAGTTTTCAATATTTTGTTATTATTTTTAATTTTAATGTTATTTTATTTGTGATTTTTTGTAGGCAATTTAACTCGGCTTGTCTATGGCTCTAGTGTTTTTTCTTTTCGTTAATAGACACGTAATGTAGTCAGAAATCATAAATCACATTTTTTAACGTTAGACCAACTTCAGAGAAAAGAGGCTCGGGTTTTGCGTGGCGGTGCGAAGGGGCGGTTGGTGGCCGGCGTCGGTCGCTCTGTGCCGGGCTTTTGCCGTGGGTTCTGGGTTTTTTGCTTTGGTGTTTGAGTTTGTCACAAAGCCTTTTTGAAATATGAACGCCTGTCCCCCATGACGAGCTGGTTGAACAGCGGAAAGTTGGTTGTGTTGACTCAGGCCGAAGCGGTGGGTGCTGAACGAGCTGCTCATCTTGCCTGGGACCCACTGGTGCGGCAACGATGACATGGCCAGCTCCTACAGCGATCTCTCGGGCTTCGTGGGCGCCGACTCCTGCTGCCGCACCCACGACATGTGCCCCGTCAACATCCCCGGCTTCACCCGCAAGTACGGCATCTACAACTCGCGCCTCACCACCATCTCCCACTGCATCTGCGACGAGAGGTAAGGAAGGAAGGAGGGAAGGTGTTCGTGCCTCGCCGTTGTTCTTGGGTTAGAAAAAAGTAGTTTCCTTTTCTGGCACCTTTTGGATGTCGCGCTGGGGAGAACTGCAGATGGCGGTCGATGATTTGATGTGTGGGATTCGTTATGTCATTCGGGTTAGATGGTTCTGATGTCTTGTATTTCGGTTTTGGTCGGTTCGTCAGTCAGGGATTGCAAAGTCCCTCCCCCTTTTCCCTATCACCCTCCCCCCCGAACATTCTTCCGGCAATGAAAAGAGAGACAGTGTTTGTGAAGAAGTCGACCCTAAACGCCAAGTGGAAGAAGCACCCAGGTTCAGACGAGGAGTCCCCAAAGCGACTCCTCGGCGCCCGTCCTCACTCCGCCAACTATCCCTCGCACGAACCAGGTCTCGGCGCTCGGTCCTCGACAGCCTGAGGTTCCCGGCGACCAAGTGGTGCGGCGTCGGCTACTCTGCCTCCGTGTACGGCGAGCTCGGGGGCGAATCCAGCACGGACATGTGCTGCCGGCAACACGACCTCCATTGCCCTTACTACATCACCTCCTTCGAAAAGAAATACGGGATTGTGAACTGGGGTATTGGCACCATTAACCACTGCGCCTGCGACGAGAGGTGAGTATTGTGACGTGTAGATGGTGGATAGTGACTGTTGATGGTGATGATGAGAACGAGCATGTTGATGTGGTAGACGTGGTGAGTCATGAAGATGGTGATGAGAATGGGCATGTTGATGTGGTAATTGTGAAGTGATGTGATATTTTAGTGTCATTTTGTTTAATTTGTATTTTTGAGGTTATTGTTTCCTAGATAGCTGGTCTGCATGTTTAAATAGTCTGGAAGTGGAGATATTTTATTGCTCTGCTGTTTTTAGTTTTTCCACGTCGCAGATACAGTTGAAAGATTGCATCGGAATTGCTGTGTCTTAGACTGAAAAATTGCGGTGAAATTTCACTGCGTAATCCGTGGAATATAGCTCGGAGGCTGATTAAAAATCTTGCTTTCAACTTCGCGTCGGTCACGACTCAAGTTTTCTTCTCATAATAGAAACGTGATGATGAATTGAAAACAATAGAAATAAATTAGCTGAAAAAAGTAACACGGAAGTCACAGTCTCGCACAATTATCCAACGCGGATCATACATTTTTGATAAAAAAAAAGAAAAAACAGATTCCTTTGCATTCCAACGCAGGCCACATTCTGACATAAGTAGCTTGTGCCGTTAACGTCCTTGTGAAGGTCTATAGTAAAGGAATCGTGCCAAGTCTCTCTAGCATGGCATGAGAGGGTCTAGCAGTACTAGGTTACAAGGAGGCCGTGTTAGGGCCTGAGGTGCCAGGGATGAGAGAGAGAGAGAGAGAGAGAGAGAGAGAGAGAGAGAGAGAGAGAGAGAGAGAGAGAGAGAGAGAGAGAGAGAGAGAGAGAGAGAGAGAGAGAGAATGGTGTCATGATAGACAGTCCGTTGAGGCGGCATTTAGTGATTTCATTTGTTTATTCTTTACATGTGTTTTTGATGTTATAAATTAAGATTTTGACTCGTTAAAAAACCCGCCTTCTCTTCATAGAATATTAGTTATGACCAAATACTTCGGTAAGTGATATCGTTATGCTGTGTGTCATAGATCACCCCCTTCTGTCTATATGATCCTCAGCGAGACACGCAGTAGAATCAGAAGACAAGCAAATACAGTTAGTTTGGCCAGTAAGAAGTCCGCGAGAGGGTTGCCAACTGGTCTATTTGCAACGTCACCTGTTGTAGTGGTCCGACCATGGCGTGATGTTGGGGGGGTAAGGGGGAAAGTGGGGAAGCTAGTAGGGGGGGGGGGAGAGAAGGGGAAAGGGGGAGAGGGGGAGGGGGAAGAGATAGTGTATGAATAGGATTTTTTTCCGCAGGAATTCGGAGCGCAGGTTGATGTTCGCTCGACGGGAAGAGACAGCCAACGCGGCGCTGCGCAAACACGGATTTAAAATCCTTTTTTTTTTTTTTTTTAATCACGCGCAACAACGGTTAAAAGAGATGAAGTATCCCGAAAATATTTGGCGCGCGAGATGAAGAGAAAAGGGAGTGTGAAAGGAAACGCCGGATAACGATGGAGAGGAAAAAAAGAGGCAGGGGGGGAGGGGAGAATAAACGGTCCAGAGTTAACCCGGGCGCCAATATCTGCATCCGGCCAGCGAGGGCGCCGGATTCGAGATATGCAGACGGAGGCCACTTTGGTGATGACTCTGGGCGGGTAAAGTGGCTAGCTTGGTGGATTTATATTAATCGTTGGTAGTCAGGGAGAGAGAGAGAGAGAGAGAGAGAGAGAGAGAGAGAGAGAGAGAGAGAGAGAGAGAGAGAGAGAGAGAGAGAGAGAGAGAGAGGGAGGGAGAGAGGGAGGGTCAGTCAGTCAGTTAGTCAGAAGGATACAGAGAGACAGAAAAATCAAAATATAGCTGCATATAAAAGCATGCCATAGATCTAGAAATGCAGACCGGCAGAGACCGAAGCCACAAGCAGAAAGGCAGACCGAAAGGCAGACGCCAGGCATGAAGGGGAAGAAAGCAAGGCGGCGAGTCATTCAGTGCAGTTCACCGGACGAGTCGGCGTGCGGGGCCTGCTGAGCTTGAGATTATTCGCCGTTTGACCTCGACCCCTTTGACACACACACACACACAAACATGCATATGCACACACGCGCACGCATAGACGCACGCACACGCACATAGACGCACGCACACGCACATAGACGCACGCACACGCACATATACACATGCACACGCACATATACACTTGCACACGCACATATACACTTGCACACGCACATATACACATGCGCACGCACATATACACATGCGCACGCACATATACACATGCGCACGCACATATACACATGCGCACGCACATATACACATGCGCACGCACATATACACATGCGCACGCACATATACACATGCGCGCGCACGCACACGCACACACACACACGCACACACGCACGCACGCACACACACACACACACACACACACACACACACACACACACACACACACACACACACACACACACACACACACACACACACACACACACACACACACACACACACGTAGAGAGAGAGAGAGAGAGAGAGGGAGGGAGGGAGGGAGGATTAATTTCCTAGTGACCGCACGTAACCAAATCTTCACTAGCCTTCAGGTGCATAGGTAGCCTAGAAGGCTTATTTATAGAACCCCTTCGAGTGCTCAAGGCGAAGGGGTTTTTCACCGACTCTGGGTTGGGTCAGGGTGGGGCGGGGGGGGGGGGAAGGCCGGCAGGTAGGAAAAGGGGGGAGGGGGTGGGTAGGTGAAAGAGGAGGGGGTGGGGGGAAGGCGAAAGGGGGGGAACCCGCAGGAATGTCGCGGCGAAGGTGTGTCTCGAGCGGCGCCTCTGGATTGGCTGTCCGCGCCACTTCCGCCGCTCCTATTGGCCGTCCGCGCTCACACACCCGCCTTTCGGCTCTTTTGATTGGTTCCGTCATTCTGTCTGAAGGATGGCGCTTTGATTGGCTGGGAAATTTCTCTCGTCTGGGAAGCCGGGCTGTGATTGGTCATTCGGGAGTGGTACGATTCCCGCCGGCGATTTTTGGCGCCAACGTCTCGCGTCGCCGTTGCGGTTTGTACTTCCCCGGGGGTGGGGGGAGGAGGAGGGAGGAGATTTAAACCACGAGAAAGGAAAGAAAAAAATCGGGGAGTTGGCGAATAAATTAGAATCTTCAAAATCGGGGGAGTTTTGGCGAATAAGTAGAATCTTCCGTGGGTTTCTGTTTCCTATTAATAGCGCTTCACTGTGCCTTCGACCTCTTGGCCGACTCTTTGATTAAGTTCCCCTTCTCGTCACTCCCACTCACCCCCCCCCCTTCTTTAATCTCCGCCACTTTTAGAGTAATGGATAAATATCAGTGTTCGTATTTCACCTTCCTCAGTACCCCATTTCTATCCCTTTCACTTTCTCTCTCTCTCATCTAGTCCCTTTCCCCCCCTTCTCTCTCCTTTCCCTCCCCCTCCCCTTCTTACTCCACCCTCTCCCCCTCTCCTTTCTTACTCCTCCCCCTCCCCCTCCCCCTCGCAAAGTGGTCGGGACAGTCCACTCGCTCTGGGCTTCTCCCTGGTGCATTCCCCCCCTTCATTACCGCCGTGAAGCCCAAGTGAAGCCTAGCGAACCGTGAAGCTCTTTAGCGCAGCCTTCGTCGCTATTTGGGCCGACCGAGGAGCAGCGGGGAAGGGGGGGAGGACGGGTCAGCCTACTGTCTGTCTGTCTGTCTGTCTGTCTGTCTGTCTGGCTGGCTTGTTCTCTCACCCCTTCTTCCTGTATCGTTTTTTTTTTTTTCATTTTACTTTCTACCGTCTTCTTATTTTTGTATTTCGTGACCTTTATCCCTCCGGCTTCATTTCTCCTTTCTCCATCACTCTCCCTTCTCATCCTTTTTTACTACTCTTCCCCTTTCTTACCCTAATATTTTCGCCATTTCCCCCCTCTTCCTTTCTTCTTTTTTTTCTGCTTCCTCTTTCTCCACTCCCCTCCCCCCCTTTGCCTAAATGCCATGTCGGCTTTTATGTCTTGTTTTATGAGGCGATGATAGGTTGCGCGTCACTCTCAGGTCAGTGCTCACGGACTCACGACCATCGCCTGTGTAATCTCTCTCTCTCTCTCTCTCTCTCTCTCTCTCTCTCTCTCTCTCTCTCTCTCTCTCTCTCTCTCTCTCTCTCTCTCTCTCTCTCTCCCCTCCCTCCCTCCCTCCCTCCCTCCCTCCCTCCCTCCCTCCCTCCCTCTCGTTTTCGCTTCATCTCTCTTTCTCTCCTTATCGTTTCATCTCTCTTTCTTTCCTTCTTTCTTTCGCTTCATTCCCCTCTCTCTCTCTTTCGCTTCATCTCTATCTCTCTCTCCCTCTCTCCCTCCCCCCTCCCCTCCCTGCTTCTGTTTCTCATTTCCTCTCCCCTCCTCTGCATTCTCCTAATTTTCATCA